AACCGAATTTTAAGCGGAGAGAGCCACTGATGTATCTACATTTTGCACTGATGTCACCATACATTTATCAAGCACGGTAAGTCGCGGATATTTTTCATGGGAGGAGCATCCTTATTATAACGGAAACTAGTTTGATATTCAATGAATACAATACAAAATAGTATCACCAGGAAGTCCGAACCCGGCGCAAAGGCAAGTTGAAACGTGTCAGTATTTAGGAACAGTGTAGTATGTGCAGGAGTGGTAACAGACAAGTTTGGCGTTCGATTCTTGTCGGCAGTGTATGTATCGATGTTCTGTCTAGTTTGGCTTAGGAGGTTCTACCGAAATACTCAATTCAAGATTTAACTGTACAGTACAGTAATTCTATCCAGCGGAAGGAAAAGTAATTTCAGAGGAGTCCTGAGTGAACCATGACTCGTCCGCTCTATGACGTTATACGAAAGCACCCACGTCCGCGAATACTTCCGCGCGCACGCCGGTGTTCTCTCGGTGGATGGTTCCGCCATTGTGGGCGCTACTTTGGACGGCATGGACACTCCCGTGGACCTACTACTCTGTATGTTGTGCATCCAAACTTGCATTCACTTGATCTAAATTCATCCTGTCAAGGTGAAATAAGGCAATTTTGTGTGCAGCGCAAGGTGAACCACCTTGCGAATTCCATAAATAATTCAGAAATTGTACAGTTTCAATTAATCCTTGTCATCAATGACGTCGAGGGACAGCGACGTTAAGTGTTGCATGACCCAGCACGACTTGGAACACGTCGGCGATCGTGGCCAGCAAACATGTGTTGTGAAAGCCTCACCTTTCGATCTTCGATCCCGAAGGTGTACCACCGACTACTGCTACCACTACCGTACAATCCCGCCAAGCGTTTTGAAGCAACGTCTGCAGCGAGCGATTCGTTTTCGAAAAAATATGTCAAAATCGAAATATTCCATTTTTCAAAAATTTGGTCGCGGCACAGCTATGAGTGGCTCAACTCGGGGTTGCGCGACACCGCCCACAACGTCATGCTTCTCTAGGATCAGGACACGCTTTCCTTCCTTCGCCAACACGGCCGCTACGGACAAGCCCCCATGCCCGACCCGATCACAATCACATCCATGTCGTCCGGTACTTTCTTGGACGCGAAGCCTTGTTCATGTGACTTCAATTAGTGTGATGATGGGTAGCACCAGTGTGTTTCACCAACTCCACGAAGTCCCCACCTGAAGAGTTCGACTGGATGGAAGGAGAACAACTTGGATTCTGGAGAAAGTCGGATCTCAGCGATCGAGCCCGAAGTGACCACGCTTGTCATGTCATCGGTGGAGTTGTTTACGTGAACATGCAGCAGCAGTTGTGTGATGGCGATACCCTGTGTTGGGGGAAGGGTTTCGTCCGCGGGTTTTACACTGAGGACGTGCAGCAAGTCGACGGCAAAGAGGTTGGCCACGTCGGCAGCGTTGGATTTGGTTTGTTGACGGCTTGGGTCGTTTGGTTGCAGCACGGACTCGAACAACATGTATCCAACATCGTAAAATTGCAACGCACGCCAGTTATTCTCAAGTATGATGTACACCTTAGCATCAAGTGATTTGCAGCCAACCCCACGCACGAATCAGACTCATGCACAATCAACCCGACGCGTCGTGGAGTTACCGAGCACCGAAAGGCTTCAAGACTACCACCGGCGATCGGGGTGGTGACGTTTTAGTTGGGTCCGTGTCGTCACCAATACCCACGCGAGTCGACGCTTGCACTTCTGTCGGCGGTACTTGATTTGGGGGGCGGCAGGAGGCTTTATTGTGACGTATTAATTTAGTGCTGTCGACTGTGCACAAGGCACATGCGGTGGCGTTGGAGCGCGACCAGGTATGCCTTTCATTTTATTGAGATGGGAGAGTGCTGACCAACCGTCGGCGACATCATCATTCGCCGTCTTGATGGCTGTGGACCGTCGTGAACACAGTTGGGCCAACTGGTGGTGGTTCAACGACGGAAATCCTGCGTCACTCGTCACTCTACTTTTTACGTTTCCAAGATGAAGACGATTGCGTTGCTGATTGTGTCTGCGGTGGTGGCTGCGTCGGACGTGACGAACGTTGCGGCGGTCCCTCAAGGGGTGGTGTCGGACGTGAAGGAGAGCCAGCATTTGCGCGAAGGGAAACCGACCGATGCGCAGAAGAAGGAGTGGGGCCTGTGGGGACTTGGACGTTGGGGACTTGGCGCAGATTGGGGGTGCGGATCGCTCGGATTAGGCCTTGGTTGTGGCGGCGGGTGCTTCTAACGTGGGGTGCCTAGTTGTCGTCGTACACTTGTTTAACGACCCCAATGGAAGGGTTCACGGTTAGACTGGTGCGATCGTCGGCAGGCGTACGTCCTCCCCACTGTGGCCGAAAGCACGACCATAATCCCCTCCGGCCAGGCAACGAATTGCCCAGTCGTTAGAACCATTTTGTCACACCACACTGCCCCTGGGTTGTTTGTGTTTTGGCACGGGTGAACAACATATTGCTTTTTATACCACTAACGTACGCTTCTTCGTGCCTTACAAAATCTGCTGCAACCACGTCGCGTTCGTGTGTCATGGCCGACAACGCCACGCAAACGCTGGAGTCAATGCGCTTCAAGGATTCCAAGAACAGTCCAAACGAAGCGATTAACACGCATTTGTTGTCGAGGCCGAAGATCGATTTAACAGCCTCATCTCTTGGTTATCCAAGAAGCAAGGCATTGTGACTCTGTCAACCACCGAGGCCGAGTTTGTGGCTCTTGCCCTTTGCATTCAAGAATGTTTATTCGTTCGACAACTCGCTGCCGAGCTACATCACACTAGTGATCAACCGATTTCGGTTCACGAGGGCAACCAATCCGCCATCAGCATCGCTCAAAGTGCTGAGCATCGTGGGCGCTCCAAGCACATTGATGTGCGTTTCATGTTTGTTCGGGATCTCGTTGAGAACAAGAAGTTTGTTCTCCATTACTGCCCCACCAAAGAACAACTAGCGGACTTTTTTTACAAAAGCCCACCCGGAACCCGCCTTTCGTAGGTTCTGCAACGCTCTTCGTATCTTCAAACTTGACGACTTCCTCAATGATCATGTCCCCTAGTTGGACAGTGCCTTTGGCGCTTCTGGCTTATGGCACCTACCCACTATTTATGCCTTATGGCGTCGATCAGTATCTGTCCCTCGTGTTCTACACATCACATTTATATGCATCGGCTATATTAGCACCACTTTGCATTCACGCCTTCATTTTCACCCCTCACCCTTGTTGGGGCTTGCTCACTTCTATGTTTTCTCGTGCCGCTTGAAGTCGGCGGTCTCATCTGGCCAACGGCGCCGCTCAAAGATCGGCCGTACGATTGGCGTCATGGTTTGAGTGAGTCTCTTCAAGGTGCACCCACACCTCAGTCCAACCTCCTACTTGCTATTCATGGGTATTTACCCCCGCTCTTTGAGCCTCATTTGCCCTTATGCTTCTGGCATATTTACATGGGTCTTTACCTGCTCTTTGAGCCACACTATCTTATTTTGCATTGCATCTATGCACATCCTGGTATTTACCATTTATTTTTACTTGGGCATTTGCCCCACTCTTTAAGCAAACCATGGACTTGTATGTCTACACTTCTTGTGTGCTCCTCCATCACCTTCTCCACCTCAGTTCTCAGGGTGGCTTGTGTAGCGACATGCCTTTTTGGCAATTTTGGCCTTAGCGAGTTTTTCGCCAGGTCCATTGCCTTTGGCACTGCTCTATCTTTGAGAACCTGCGTCTCGAAGGCCTTCAGCAGCCCGTTGCCGAGTGGGGCCGCTGTCAAGAAGGGGTACTTTGGCCTGTCTGCTTTGACCTCTTTGGCAAATCCGGATTGTATCCGGATTTTGTGCCCTCTGGGCAGATTTTTGGCTCCGACGGCACAAAACACCGGATAAGGATATTATCCGGTGTTCTCTTTGGTTGGCTGTAAGCAGTCGGATAATCCTCACTTTCAGTTTTGCCCCCGACCACACAAGTGTTCTTTGTGTTCCTCGTGCTCTCGCCCCCTTACCTCGTTCCTCGTCCTCTTGACAAATATCTCATCGAGATGGATTCGAAGTTGCAAACACCTTGGTCAATGATACTATCTATACGTATGGGCGCTGTTCCGTTACACTTTTTGGGACCCTTCGATGGAGGGGTTCCTTTACTCCAAATTGCTATTATAATAGTGTTTCTTAAAGAGGAGAATTAATGCAGTTGGTAGAACTTAAAATCATGTCTAAATTCGTATTAGTGTATATGGAAAATGAATTAGAAGAGTGGAAATATCGATAGGCTGAAAACAAGTTCCGAGCCACTTGATTTTATCCAGTTATCTGTCAACAATTGCATCTGATTGGCTGAAAATTTCAGAGTGATTGTTTTCTACCAATCATGCGTCGTGGCACGGAACCAAGTTGTCACGGAATTATGCCCATACGTATAGTAACCAAGTTGTCACGGAACTATGCCCATACGTATAGTATTCCATATGGGAATCCAATTGGTTGCGTCAACCGACTTGCCCGCCTGACCTTCGCGTCACATGTCAATGGTTGACATTTTTGGCAAACTTCATTTCCTTTTCGCTCTACGATGGTCAAAGTCCTCATCTCCCTCAGCGTGTTGGCCGCTGCTGCTATGGCTGGCTCCGTCACGAAACTCCCCGAGTCTGTGACCAAGCTCATCGACTACTCCATCAACCCCTGTGAAGACTTTTACCAATATGCGTGTGGCGCGTGGTACAAGGATGTTGTGATACCCCCGGGCAGATACCAAATCGATACGGCGTTCTACGAGATCGTCATCCGAAACAAAGCTGTATTGAAGAAGATTTACTCTGACAACAAGCCCAAGCTTGGTGAGTATTACAACTCCTGTTTGGACACGGCTACACTATCGTCGCTCGGCCTGACTCAGCTGGAGGGCTCGTTCAAAGCCATTCGGTCGGCCAACACCACGTTGGACCTCCTCATCGTGGCCGGTGAATTGGCCAAGAACGGTATCCCTGCATTTGTCGACATAAAGGCCAGCGCTGACGACAACGACCTGACCAAGAACGCCCTCTTCGGTTTCCGAGCCCCCCTGTCGCTGGATCGCAGGTACTACACCATCCCTTCCGCCTGGGAGACCGTCGAAGCCGAGTACAAGGTGTACATTGCGTCGGTGTTGCAGCTAGCTGGTTACACTGCTGAGCAAGCGGCGGCTGCCGTGCCGGTAATCATCCGTTTCGAGCAAACTCTGGCTGGTGTCGCCCTCCGCGAGCTCGAGGAGATAGGGGCTCCTGTGTCTCCATATACTGCGTTTACGTACAGCCAACTGGACCAGAAGTACCCCCTGCTCATCGGGTCGTGGCTCAAGGCCCACGGCTTCGACATCTACGACCAGTTGGGTGGGTCGAACGACTGGGTGGGGTTTAAGGAGTTGGCTTACTTTGACAAGACCGAAGTGTTGCTGAAGAACACGACGCTTGACGACCTCCGCACCATCCTGGAGTACAAGCTCATCCATGCTTCGTCGAACCACTTGACCCCTGAATTCCGCACGGTCAACTGGAACTTGTTCGGCAAGAAGATCAAACACCAAAAGGTGGAACCTACTCGTGAAAGGTTCTGCATGTCTGAGACGGGCGAGACCTTGAGTGATCTCTTGGGACAGTACTTCGTAGACGAGGTGTTGTCGGCTGATGCAGCCAAGACGGCCGACGAACTAGCCAAGGCCTTGCAGTCGTCCTTCTCCACTGGCATTGTCACCGCCGACTGGTTGGACAACTCGACCCGCGCCAACGCGCAAATGAAGCTGTCCAAGCTTGTACATGCGTTGGGTGGCCCAGAGAAGTCGCAGCTGTACCCCACGCTGACGTTTGACTCGAATACGTATTTGAACAACCGGTGGAAGGTGTCCCAAGTGAACGTCGACTCCAACTTGAAGCTGAACGGCCAACCTGTGGACAGACGCAAGTTCAGCGACCCCCCCCATGTGGTGAGCGCGTACTACGTCTCCCAGACGAATCAAATTACACTCCCCGCCGGCATTTTGCAAAAACCATTCTTTGACGGCCAGTTTGACGCTGCCCAGAACTTTGGTGGCATCGGGACGGTCATCGGACACGAAATTACCCACGGGTTCGACAACCGCGGCCGCAAATACGATGGCGACGGAAACTTGAAACAGTGGTGGTCGAACGCCACCAGCACTGCGTTCAACACGAAATCCCAGTGCATTATCGACCAGTACGCCAACTTTGTCGTAAAGAGCGAAGTCACTGGCGCTGAATTGGGCAACATTAGCGCCGTGTTCTCTTTGGATGAAAACATTGCGGACAACGGGGGGCTAAAGACCAGTTTCCGCGCATACCACGAGTACTTGAAGAAGTTCCCGTCCCAGTACACGGAAGAAGCAGGCGACAAGTTGTTCTACTTGTCGTACGCCCAATCCTGGTGCTCCAAGAGCACGGATGCCTCCCTCAACATGAGTTTGAGGGGCAGGCACCCGCCTAACCGGTTCCGCGTGACAGGGGCGTTGCAAAACGACGCTGAGTTTGCCCGTGTGTTCGAATGCCCCACCGACTCGTACTTGAACCCGTCCAACAAGTGCTTGTTGTGGGAATAGGTTGATCGCTACGAAAATATGTGTAGCGTTGTGCATTCGTAAGGAAAAACTAAGAAAACAATGCCTTGGTTGAAGTGTGCTGCTTTCATGTGCGGCGCACACAAAAACTAACGTTAATGTATAGTACAGTATGTGAGATCACCCTTGGATTCGCTTAGTAACTTGAGATAAAGTCAACTACTCGACGGGTTTGGTGCGCGCACGACATCGATTTCATAAGGTTGGGATTGCGCTTAGGATTACCACTTCACTGTCAATGGATATTTGAAACGGAGGAATTCCCTAATGTTGTTTTGGCATGAGTGAATAATTCAAAACGCGCAATACATAAGCCGGTACTATTAATACGCTTACAGTTCGTATTGTCAATTCGATTCGAAACTGGAGGCCTCATTAACGTTAGAATCGAATGTCTTAAAATCCTAGCGGTAGACTGAAGAGAATGGATTCAAGAACAGCCTCAGCCAATCAAATCACGTCCAAGCGATTTTCTGCCAATCCAAACGTTTTATTTGGCCTACCTGGTAGTCCCTCCGCATTGGGTAATACAACATATAACACAGATACGACACAAAACCGACAAAACTCGGCCCCGTGATTGGATGAACGAAAAATGATTGAATTCCAATTGGTCAGTATTTTTCCGACAATTCGATTGGACGAGGCAATTGTCGTAGCTGCTACATGTCACTAACATGTACTAGTACGGCTTTATATTTGTTGAAATACTATCGAGCCAACATTGCACTCGATACAGTGCTGATCAACATAAACAAAACGGCAAGCGAACGAGTAGGGGTACTCTTGTTATCGGAGGCAGTCAGCCGGCGCCCCGCCATGATGCATGGGGAGCATTGGTGGATTGGTGGCACCCCTGTGTAGCCCATTCGACAAAATAACGCTTGAGACTTTTAAAACGTACAAATGCGCCTAGATCAGTTGGTTATACTGTACAGTGCTCGCAGTGAATGTCGCCTGCCCATAATCCGTATGAACGAGCCGAGACAGTTGCGGTATCGGTTACCAGCGGTATGGATTGCCAGCGTTGATCCCGCAATTGTCTCGGCTCGTGGAACCTGTCTTCGAAGGCTTGCAATGTACGAATACACCTGTGTGCAAACCTATGTAGAATAGAACAAACACCACGCCAACTCCCTACCCACAAGTGCTGCCTGCGCCAACATGGTAAAGGGGTTGTCGACTCCATGTCGTCACGACAGGTCCAATCGTGTTTTGATTCCGTTCCGTCTACAATTGAACTTTTCAGGTATCAAGCACTTTGCCCATCCCCCCAAACATTGCCAGCTCCAGTGTTTTGTCTCCCGCTTCTTCCTGGCTTTCGGCCACGGGACCTTCGTCAAGGTAGCAAATATAACACTGACATTAGTGAGGTTAAACACGCCACGAGGCGCCAACTGACTACCATTCACTAAAGCACTCAGTCCCTCCACTAAGGTATCGGAACCTTTGACACGGCACACACACAGAATGTGTGTGTTTGCAATGGATCAAAGTAACGCGCGACCCGATTTCTCTGCACGTTGCAGAGCACTTCCCCTCCTACGGAAAGTCCAGTGTCTTGATGAGGGCGGCCACGGCAGGGTCTTCCTTGTTGGCCACCGCCCACTTGCGAAATACGACTGGAATGTCGTCCAGCAAATTCGCCGCAGATTCCCAGGACGATTCTTCATCGTCCAGCCCAAGCCACTTCACCAAAACTTGGTGTTGGCCATCCACGCAGCGCGCTTCGTCCAGGCGTTCCACATGACATCCGCCATCGCCAAACGCGACCTGCGCTTCGAGGTCTTCGGTCACGTCTCTACCACCTTCGTGGTACATCTTTAATCGGCACGCATGGTGGACCGTGGCTTCGTACGGTGGCACCAGCTGCTGAGTCTCCATCACATGGTCTGTGATGACTCTGGTCACTTGGAAGGGTCCTCGCCAATGCAGGGCCAATTTTGTCGGACGGTTGACGACCGATCCGATAAACACAAAATCGCCGACCGAAAAACCCGCAAACTTGACTTGGGATTTTCGGTCGCGGCGTCCACGCGCTTGCTGACACAACTTGTCGCTTCGCACCTCCACGTTGCGGTGCATTTCTTCAAGCGCCACTTGGAGGT